TATTGATAGAATTAAGTTGAATATAAATATATGGGCGTGTGTATTGAGTCATAAATAAACATAGCAACGATAAAATAAAAAGAATTATTGCGACCTCCATTAGCACTGCCTAACCTTACTGCTAATGATAAAAATTTCCCCACCTATGTAATATAGTCTACTCAAACCCATATGCTCTACTCAAACAAATTTACGGTTCTGCACAAAAGAAGCACTAAAAAAACTACAATCATTTCAATCCAAAATGTTAAGACTAATGACAGCAGCTCACTGGTACGTAAACAACAAAACTTAACATACTGACTAACAACAACCAACTATCGACCAACACATAAGTACTCTCTACTCCCGATTTCATCTTAAACTACACGGACATCGCAACGGACTTATCAACGACATGGCCATAGCTGTCATTCCCATCAGGAGACGACTAAAGAGGAGCTGGATGAGAGATCTCCTTTCCTAAATTATGAAGTAGACCAAGACCAGAAAGAGGTACTGCTGGGTACTAATCTTCCTCATGCCTAAAACACCAATTTTCTTTACAATGAGATCACATCTGCTTATTGTCAATACGATGACAGGTGTGGATTGAAGTATGAAGAGAGAAAAAAAAAAAAGTTGCTGACAGGAAATGCGAGCTAAGTAGTTTTGGAATTGAAAAAAAGCAAATATTTCTCGCCTTTAATCCAGCCTTAAAACTCCTCTTCAATTTCGTTATTTATTGTTGTCTTAGATCCTATACATCTGAAATTCTCTACATGTTCAAATCCAAATAAAAAATTTAAAAAAAAAAATTTCTACGTTTAAGAACAACAAAAATATAAACTAAGTGTCAAGCAATCAGTTATCAGGTTATTGATGTTTTCTTAGTATTTGTATTTAATATACAGAACCAAGACATAAAATATTTCCGTTACATTACCCAAAGGGGAGATAAAAAAGTATATTGGGGAGAAGGAAGGATGTTGTCAGGGTGGACTTTATCAAGTGTAGGCAAACTTCCCGAGCTTAGACCACAACGCTTGAAGGACTTAGCAGCTTAATATTAAGCACCCTCTTCTATTATCAAAATATGCCTATAATATAATATAAACTTGGCAATTATATACAAATACTATTATATCAGCTCCTCGATAACTGTGAATTATTGTGTATTATTAGAAGGAAATATTTCAATGTGTATTAAACATTTAAGAGAGGAAAGTATTTATCAAGTTGTGCTCCGCCAACTTAAAAAATTAAAAATGAATAATTTAAAAAAAAAACTATATTAATTTTAGGAATGAACTGATCCTCAAAGGTCGGTATATGGGTATTTTAATAGAATAAATAATTACCTGACACGGCCGGACTCGAATCTGGGGCATCGAGCAAACGAATGCAATGCTTTACACATTGAACTACTCCACAGACCCATGTTTACTTATAACCTCCATAAATCAACAATTTTGGATTTTTTTTTAGGAAATCTGAATATCTAATGAATTTTCTACTTTTCGAAGAAAGTAAAAAAGATATTTAAAAAATGCATTAGAGTTAACATTTTTAAGATTGAGTAATAATTAATCGATATGAATAACAGTAATAATGAGTTCGATATGTAGAGAGTTTCGACTGTATTTCAATTAACAGTGGCAGATCCAAATATAACAGATTTTTAGAAATAGCCAGTTGTGAGAAATGTTATCGAACGGTATTTTTGACAACTTTATTTATTTCCCTGGACGAGGAGATTGTTTAAGTTAGGGCCCTGCCCGTGTTAATCTTTTTAGGACTTTAATTTTTACTCCCGAGTGGGAAACTTTCTTCTCCCTTTTGAAAAAAAAAAGCCCGCCGGTACGTTTATTCAACAATAAAGTAAACTCTGGATCATCGTAAAGTTTAAGAAGGGTGGGTAAAATAAACCCCATTCCTGTTTTACTGTATTCAACCCGAGCAGTAAAGTTGACAGGCATTAAGGAAAATATGATAATTTAACACTGACACCTGATAAACGTTGGACAAGTATTTATTAAAATTATAATCATAAACATAATTTTCACTATATGGATAAATTGATGGAAGCTAGTCGACTGTTCTACATATCATGAGTGATAAATATTCAGAACACCGTCTTTTCAAAACATTTTATTTTATAAAATAACTATGTTTACTAATAACTATGTCCTTTTGCTATCTGAAAAAGGACAACTGCGAAATCCTCCCCCGACCTTTACATTTAGCTACCAAATGTGTCAGTACTTGTGTAAGCCTTCAGTGCTCGAACCACGGTTAGTAAGAGAAAATATTATAAATATTTATAAATAGATTTTATATATATATATATATATATATATATATATATATATATATATATATATATATATATATATGTATATTATTTTTAGTTTGTATAACTTTTTACATATTTCATTTTTAATATTGTGTATTAATAGTTATATTATTGTGTGTAATAATAGTTAAGATTCATGTACCATCAAATCACTATAGTTTGTTATTTACTATTATCACTCGCATAATATTATATCTCAAATTGTATTTTAAAATTTTCAGCCCTGAAGATGACCCACATGTTTGGGTTGAAACGCTGGTACAAATAAAAAATTAAAATTTTTTATAAAAGACTGCGTCCTGAATATTTATCACCCATTATATATGATAAAGCTAACTAAGACTATATATGATGATGTTGAGCAGTAGTAATTACAGAAATCGATAAATATTACATAGGTACGGAAGTTTGAAAATGAAGTAGGTGGTAGAATAAGAGTTGTTTGAAGGACTTATCGTCGAGAAGTAAGAAAAAGCCTTTTCAAGTTGTCATACCAGTGGGAAACATGAAAACGCCTTTGAATTCCAAAGATGAATCTTATAAAACAGTTCATAAGTCTTTTCAATAATTCAATTAATAAATATGAGTATCAATATCGCTTTTCTAGCGCAAGCGCATAAATAAAAAACATTGAAAAATATGGGATTTCAAAACTCAGATTGTTTCAAGTATCGAGACGCGATTTTCTCCATAGATGTTGAAATGGAAATCAAGTCCCATTTTTTAAATTGTAAAAAGGTTCTCTTTTCAAGCTAAACAGTAATATGGCTGAAAACCTCTTAGGTAACATGATTGCTGATGTGAATAACAGTTCAGGTTTTAAACATTAAAATATTACTATTTATGATAGTCTTCGACGAACTAATAATTTATTGAAAAATGAAAATAGAGGCAAATAAATATATGATCACGAGACCGCTTCGGATAATATAGAAAGAAACTTAATGACATTTAATAAATAAAAAAAATATCTATGTACGGCTTCTATAACCTTAGTTGGTTAGAGAATTGCAAACCAATGCTGTTCTGTGTCAGGTCTTAAACGAGTACAATAATGGATTAGTACAAGCTCAGGGATAGATGAGTCTTATTACTTAACTATTGGGATGGAGGGATATTTTCCAGTGTGACAAGCTAACCACTTTTGAAATAAATAGTGACCAAAAATTTTGACTGTTGAATAGACTACTTTGATAATATTTTATTGTATATACTAATAAACATGTTTCTCTGAAGGCATTAGAGAGAAATATAGATATGTAATCTGATAATTATCACTATGGAATATTAATATAATATTACAGTCAACAATTTTCAAACAAGTTTTGCATAGTCATAATCCACACATATATTATTACAGTAAGGCTTGAAATCGGTTTTGTGCCAAATATAAGCTCCTGTCAGGATCAACTACCATGAATGGAGTTGGATTCAGAATTTTACGGGTGGTTAGCGAATCGTATTCTCCACTTTTGTTTTTATTTTTAAAATAAATAATGTCGATACAAACATTTTGCCAGGCTTCAATACAGGAACGGTGGTAGGTCTGTAGATCGATACGGTACAAATTGGACCTTGAAGATTTTGATGCGTACAGCAAGACCCGGATAGTTCCTTCGGAACTATCGGTTTCTGCGTTTTTAAGCCCAAAAACGTACTATTTTCGAAATAACACGAGACATAAGATTCGCAACCACGCAAACTTACGTTAATTGTACTGTCATTGAATACATGTCTCATTTCGTCGACTTGAGGCCTCTTTGATCGAGAGAGGAGGAGTTTATATTATTCATCGATGGTTTTTTTGATCGGCAAGCCATATCATCGTTAATTCTTCACCAAATCTCAAGATTGAGCCACCAATTTCGAAGGCTTCCTTCTCCTTCAGGCGGGCGAAATAGCCCAATCAACCCGAAAATTAAGGTAAACAAGTTATGAAAGAAAACACATTTTATTTGCGAATAACTAAAAAATTCCACACTTTTCGCTAGGTTATGCCCATGATTATATAAACGATTACTAGATTCCCTACAAAAGGAAAAAAAAAATCATCGAAACCGGACAATTTTTAGCAAAGATACAGGTTATTGAAATTTGTAAACATGTTGGTTCCAAACATTAATGAAGATTTAAAATAATTTGTGTTTCCTTTGCCGTATATATTTATCGATAAAGTAACAATTGATTTTTTTATCTTTTGATACGTTGCATTTTTTTTCTTAATAATTAGGCATTTGAAAACAATATGCGAATTTTTCGCACGGGCCAACTAGTATTAAAAAAAAAGAGTTAACCAGTATAAGAAGAATTCAAGCTTTGCATTAGACTTATTCAAAAGTTTATATTCGTAAAGGATTAAATCTAAGGCTAGATAAATTTAATATAAGTCATTATAAATATTATATAGAGCTATATATATACAAAATTTAAATTCTTCGAAAGGCTTCAGGTACATTATCAATTCAATATCATTAAAGTAAGACGATTTCCTGAAATTTCGCATCAAAGAAAATTCTACATCACAGAATATACTGTATACGAAAAGCATTTCTTTTAAATATGAATGAACTACCGATGATAAAAAGAATATATATTCTGATGAACTCAGATTATTTACAAAGAAATGGATAATGATCAAACTTAATAGCTAGTATTAAAAACTTACCTTCATCTTCCGTCTTATTGATGCATTTCCAGAAATGAATCTAAAACAATACAAAACAATTAGTTATTGATAATATTATTAACTAATATATTATTCCTTTATTAATCTCATATATTATATTATATTATAATATATTAACCTTAAGTGAAGCAGGCCTGCACAATCCTAGACAATGTTTAACATTATTGATTTTACACATGGATATGTGCGTGTTTGTGTGCATAAATGTGTTATGATTGGATATTTTATACGATACACATAATGTTATTTTATATTTTAATTTTTAAATACCAGTAATGAAGTGAGAGGCGCTGGGATCTCCTAGAGTCCTGCCTTTCCACGAGTAGGAGGAAAGGCTTAGCTCGGAGATCTCGAATGAATCAATATTGTATAAAAGCATGTGTGTATTTAAGTAGTTATTTTGATTAGTTTAGTTATTTTGTTTATATAGATTTATCTGTATTAATTATTTTTATTTATTGTAAATGTGCTTTCTGAACACTATCATAAATGTCCTTAATTGTGACGGATTGTAATATTCCTCAATAAATAAGTTCTAAAAAAAAAATTAAATACTACAAAACTTAAATTTCAAAAATCCTATTCGTTTATACAGGGCCATTTAGTGGTACCCCTGCTCCACCAATCCATCCACTAAGTGAGGTCCCTGAGTAGAGGATATATTGAGAAGATTTTAAATTAATGTTTATATAATGATAATAGTTAATAATAGATAATTACAAACATAATTTAATTTAATTAGCGCCAATAATAGATCTTGAGTAATCCAGACAACAATGTCTAAATCAACAAAACAATTTGAAATCTTGATAACCTCAAAGAATATATTCGACGATAAAATCCATGACATATATCCTTTGTAGTAGAACATATAAAAAACATCCAAAACCATATCTTTGCTCGAAATTGTCCGATTTGAACGTTGTTGTTTTTTTTTAGGGAATTTTATAAACTTTTAAATAACTAAAAAAAAGTGTATATTTTTTTAGTTATTCAGAATCTAATTTTAACATCCCTCGTAACTTTTTTCCAACTTATTTTCGTTGAAGTATGTTATATAGATAAATTTAAAGAGCATCGAGAAGAAGACTTTAGCTAGGTACTGTCTTTTAGGAGCTACAGTCTATAGCAACGCAGGTTTTTCGGCCGCCATCGTGAAAGGAAAAGGCGGATAGTAATGTCGATGAAGGAGGATCATCATCGGGTGACCTTTGACTTTAAATCCGAATTTGAAATAAAATTTCGGAAAAAATGTGCGGACGGGGGAGGGACAATACAAAGTTTATTCTTTTTTTGAATTCAACGTATCCTGAAACGTAAAACCTCAAATTTTGAATTTTTTGCTGGATTACAATGGTTCATTATTGAAAATAATAAACCAAAAACAATCAAACAAAGTTTTGGGATAAATATTGTTGAGTAGTTGAACAGAACACTGAACATAAAAAGGCAAACCTACAGTATGGTGCTCTTACTGATCGATGATTGTTTCTGGAACAATAAGTGAACCGTGAGGAATCTTCCTAATTTACTACTTAATATTTCGGTTGCGATTTCCGGTAAGATTAAACCAAAGCAGACAAATATACAAGAAGAAAATATAGAAACAAAAAATATATGAAATAGAGGTCTAGGAGGTTCTGAAATATATTATTCCCACTTTTCATGGAGGATGTAAGGTCTCTAGTATTTTATGTATTTCTTTTTGCAAATAAGTGATCTTGTTTTTTTTTTTATCCTGATGATGCCTGAAACGTTAGCAGATTAACAATTCACCTTCATGTTAGAGACTTGGGGCCTTTATGGTTCGGATTTTTCCATTTATATCCTAATTACATTATGCCACTTTTTGAGCAATATATTCATCTATGTAAATAGCCAAAGTAAGTACATTATTTCCCTTTTGTCTTCGCCACAATAGGCTAAAAGTTAGGTTCCATCATAGAATAAATAGTTCAAGTTTACAAAGAGCAATATGAGATGAGATGCTCGAAGTGCTGCGGTCGTTGCTGCTTTGTGCTGCATACAGTACAAGTATTCATTAGTTGCGTAAGTGCCTGTTTATTAAGTCTGCCTCAGATGAGCTTGTAGATGAATTCGCTCGGTAGCTTACACGGTTAGCATATATTATGGGATATATATTTATTTCATTACAATACTTTCAAACGTGGTTAACAACTTTTTCAAACTTTTTTTTTTATTATTATTTATGAAATCTACAACTACAAATTAATATACATTCAGCTAATGTGATACAAAGAAATACATGCCATGACAAGGCTTGTAAAGAATCTAACCATTGGTAGCACTCTAATAAAGTATCTAAATTAGGAGATCACTAGGCCATTTTCAGACGCCTAGGAGGGTTATAAGGGATCGAGGAGGAAGCAAGGTTAGAAACGAAAGGATTAGGATGGTTCTGAAGTTTATTATGAAAGGATAGATACCTGGATTGGGCCAAATCGGAAACATAATGGAACATTATATCATTGTTGGAAGTAATAAAAAATGGGCAAACATCAACTATGAAAGACTTGATGTTTTGATAATAAAAAAGAAAATGGGGCAAATATTTTTAAAGTTCGAAAAAAAAATTCTTAGAAATATAAGCAATACATAACATATATAACAAATAAGTAAAAGATAATGTATGAAGACGAAAAGCTAATAAATGTTAATTGCTGTAATTAGTAATGTCTATAATTTCTTCCTCACAGAGTTTAGTCTGTCTGCCAAGGCTCAGAATTTTCTTCAATAATACCAACCTTAGCAGGAGTTCCTCATGAGTAAGTAATCACTCCGCTTTTATACATCATATACTCACACGACATTCCTAACAGTACCGGACATTTCTATATTCCTAACTATCACAGTGATTTGTGCAGATGATGCAACGATTCTAAGAAGACATATAAATCCTACACACGCCTGACAGACTTTACATCATCTAACAAAACCAAATGATCGGTGCAAACTTCGGAAAATTTGACTCAAACAACTCAAATTCCAACACATTACTATCATTCTTCGATATGAAACTTGATCTCCAATTATTCTAGACAATGCCCAGTACAACACCATGGATTGACATTCGGCAGATGAAAGAAATGGGGCCCACACATCAACAAAAAAAAGAAAAATGTTAAATCTCAGACTATAACTATTATAGTTACTTCTCTCGAGGCCTTCAAAAAAATTGAACTTAAACAGAAACTGAACACTTATATTTAAAGTCCATATAGACATATGTTTCACAGATATACGGAACAACCAAAACGTCCGACTTCAACTTTTCAGTCAAAAAATTCATGATTATAATTAAAGCTCCATGTCATGTTGCAAACATCATTTTACAAGAAGATCTAAACATGCCAATAATTACCGACCACATACGGATACACTGCAAAATATTTCACGATAACTTACAAGGGTATATTAACACACCCATACAAGATATGGCTACAACTAACACGCCCGAAAACTCAAAAGAAGCTGGTTGAGGGATCGCCTTGCTTAAAAAGTATACTAAAATTAAGATAGGATAGAATGCCGCTGGACACTCCTCTCCCTCGCGCCGACAATGCTACTGCTAGTATTCTTCTCGACAGCAGACTCACTGATTGTCAGTACTTCTGAAAGTTGTGAATGAAGAAGTTAAGCTAAAAAAAAAAGCTCGTGTTTTATATTAATGAGTGAAAAAAGCTTTCGCCATCTATTCAACAAAAAACCTGAATCGCTTAAAAAATTGCAAGGTATAAAATAAATAAGGCTGTCGAATGGTATACAACCTGAACAGTTAACAAAATATGGGACAGTCTAATACTACCTAATAAATACAAAGTATAATAATCCATCATAATATTATTTTGTATTATACAATGGAAAGGAAGGTGGGTATTGTTTACCCGGAGGAGAAATGAATTCCATTCGACTAATGGTATCATTAATTTCGGTTGGCACTAGAGGCGTCAGAGCTAATTTAGGCTAATTGGGAAAGGCATTCTGAAATTAGCGTATCACTAAACAACGTTTTCCAAAAGATTTTCTGTCTAGGCAACAATGTATGTGTTCTATGTAACCAATCGACATAGGCTTGCAACCACGTTGATATTTAAAATATTTCTTCATCGAAAGCAAAGCTAGAGGAGCTTTATGTTCATGTAGGATATTAAAATAAAGTTTATATTCATGATTAAAAATTTTCAATCGTGTTTTACGTTTTAGAAATCAAGAAACAACGCGTAAACGGACTAGTCAGGCGGTATTAACCAAAATTTGAAATTTCAATAATGAATTTAAAATGTGTACATAAACATGTTCCTTAGGCTTTAGAGTACATGCTAGTCGATTTTCAAGCGATTTACTAATCAATTATAATGCTATTTATCATAAATTCTAAATATTTTATTGTAAGTATTCAGAAGGTTTAAAAACTAAAGAAATCTGGGTAACTATTCTTATTAAGTAATTTATTTTCCGATTTAAAATTGTTCATATTGAAATATTTTCATAAATTTAACAATTACAAAAATTTAGTGAATTTCTTTGTAAAAATCTAATAAATTGTTGTTAAATATACGGGCGAAATAGGATTTCCGAAAATTTCACACCACTTCAGAAATCATTTATATTTTGAAAATAATGATTCATGTGTTTGAAAAAAATATAATATTCGTATTTGCCATTAGTTTTACTAATATATTGTGTTCATAAAAAAATGTCTAACTATTATTAAAATATACATAAATAGTAAAAAAACAACATTTGTTGTAAGACCATTTTTACTCAACCAATACATCATTTAATAAAAATATTATTTTTTAATAAACCGATATATCATTTAGCAAAAAAAATATATTTTTTATTAAACTGAAATATCACTTAATTTAACACAACTGTTTAATTCAATAAAACTTAAAAAAAAAAAAAAAAAAACAATGACCGGAGACAATATTAATACTGTTGAATTAAAACAAATCATACTATCTTGTTAAGATTTTAAGATCTATTTTTTATTCT